TAAATGGCACTGAACTGTACACTTAAAAATGATTCATTGTATGTGAATTGCACACACACACACACACACACACACACAGATAATTAATCCTGGCCATTAAAGGAGTGATAGATGCCACAGCTGGTTTCTCCTCACATCTAATACTAAAGTTGCAGACCTGCTAATGTTCAAGGTCGGGGTTCTGGCTCTAATCAGCAGGCCCCATGCTCGAAAGTTTCTGTGGCCATTGATTACGTATGATCAGCTGTGTGGACAGCAGGGACCCTTGTTTCGATGGAATAAGAAAGGAACCTCACCTCTGGGGTCTTGCCCTCAAAACCCATCACCTCATCTAACTAACCCTAAGACAAACAACAGACAAATCCCACCTGAGGGACTTTCTAGGAACTATCGAAGCAGTCCTCAAGACTGTCCAGATCATCAAAAACAAGGCAAGTCTGAGACACCATCACAGCCTAGAGGGGCCTAAGGTGACACAAGGAAATGTTGGGTGGGGTCCTGAGGCAGAAATGGGACATTAAGAGAAGACTAAAGAAAATTGAAGACTCTGAGGACTCCAGGGTCATAGCAATGATGTACTGATGACAGATGTCCACACCAACATGAGATGTTAACAGGTCAAAGGGTATGCCGGGTATTTCTCCACATTTTTACAACTTTTCTGTAAATCTAAAACTAGACCTATTTTTTTTATCTTTTTATCCTCACCCAAGGATATTCATTGCTTTTATAGAAAGAGGAAGGGATAGAGAGAAACACTGACATGAAAACACCAATTGGCTGCCTCCCATATGCACCTGAACCAGAGATCGGACCCATAACCTAGGTGTGTGCCCTGGCTGGGAATTGAACACTCAGTCATTCGGTTACAGGATGATGGCCCAGCCAACTAAGCCACACTGGCCAGAGCAAAACTAAGCCTATTTTAAAAAATAATAAACTCACAGGGCCTAACCCATGTTCTCCTGCATGATCTTACCCAGGGTGCTGTGCTCCTCGGAGGTGAAGCCCCCCCAGGCCAACCGTCTGCAGCTCCCATCTCCCAAACCCCCTGCCTGTGTCTTACCCCCCATATTGGTTAGAATCTTTTCGTTGCAACTCACAGAAACTGAAACTGGCTTTTGTTTTTTTAATGGGAATTTTTTGCTCATGGAACTGAAAGGTCCAGGGATAGATGCACCTCGGGGGTTTTTCCCCCCTCAGCATGGCTGACATTTTGAATCAGATGGTTCTCCGTGTTGAGCAGCATCCCTGGCCCCCACCCACACAATGCCAGGAGAACACCCCCCCCCCCGTCATGATAACCACAAATGTCCCCAGGTATCACCCAGTGTTCCCTGGTTGGTAGAATTGCCCCTGATTGAGACACACTGGTCCAGCTGGGTTCAGGCTCAACTAGATCTAGGACCTTCAAACAGTGCCTCAGAGATTTATCCACCTCTCCATCTCTTGGCTCTGTCATCCTCTGTCTTGGCTTTTACCTCAATAGTCTCACTTTTTGTGGGGACAAGGATGGTGCCAACAGCACCAGACCAAATACCCCCATCAGCTTGGCAGCCTCAGCAGGTCAGCACTTCTTACCTAAGAGAGGCAGCAAAAGTTCAAGGGAAGGTTCTGATTGGCCCAATTCCAGTCTCATGTCCTTATTCAATCAATTGTTGTGACAAGGCAGTGGAAAGCCCTCATTGGCTAACATGGGGGTCACATGGTTATTTGGAGTTAGCCAATGGAGTGAAGATCCTATGATATCAGCCAGTGGTGTATGCAGTCAGCCAGTAGGATGAGAACCTCTGGACTAGATTGGAAGCACGGAGGGTAGGCCTGGGTAGAAAGTCTGGCTGTTGCTCAAAGCATTAAAAACATAGAATCACCATATAATCCAGCAGCCCCACTTCTTTCACATTCACAGAATTGAAAGCAGGGACTCAAACAGATATTTCCCTCTGTATGACTCACAGCAGCCCAATTCACAACAGCCAAGGTGGAAACAAGCACTGTGTCCACGCACAGATGAACAGACAAGTGAGACGTGGCCCATCCACACTCTGGTCTATTATTTAGCCTTTAAAAGGAAGGACATTCTGACACCTGCTACAGTGTGGGTGAACATGATGCTCAGTGACTTAAGTCAGACACAAAAGGACAAATACTGTGTTGTTCCACTCATGGGAGGTCCCTAGGGGAATCAATGGCATAGAGACAAAAAGTAGAGGGTGGGAGCCAGGGGTGGGGGTGGTGCGGATGGGGAGTTAGTGTTTAACGGATGGTCAGATGGCCACACAACAATGAATGTACTTAATGCCACTGAGCTGTGCACATAACAATGGTTAAGATGGTAAGTTTTATGTTAGATGTGTATTACCACAATAAAAAGTGTACCCAGCCCTGGCTGGTGTCGCTCAGTGGATTAAGCACTGGCCTGCGAATCAAAAGCTCATTAGTTCGATTCTCAGGCAGGGTACATGCCTGGGTTGTGAGACAGGTCCCCAGTGGGGGGTGCACGAGGCAACCACACATTGATGTTTTTCTCCCTTTCTTTCTCTCTCCCTTCCCCTCTCTCTAAAAATAAATGAATAAAATCTTAAAAAAAAGAAAAACTTAAACCTGAAGGTAGCCAAGATTGTGTATGCATATTAAAACCTCCCCCACAGTGCCCTGGCCACAATAACCAACTCCTTGAGTGTCCTTCCACTGCGAGACAATGCCCCAGTCTACCCACACACACACCCCTGTCACGCAGTCTGTGGCACACTCTCCACTCTGCCTTTTCATCTAATGCCAATTGCAGTTTATTGCATACAAACTCATAAAAGGTGCCAGCTTTTTTTTAAAGATTTCATTTATTTATTTTTTAGAGAGAAGTAGGTGGGGAGAAAGACAGAGAGAGAAACATCAATGTGTGGTTACCTCTCACACCCCCCGCCCCCCCCCAGGGACCTGGCCCACAACCCAGGCACGTGCCCTAGACTGGGAATTGAACTGGCGACCCCCTGATTGGCAGGCTGGCACTCAACCATTAAGCCACATCAACCAGGTAAAGGGTGGCCAGTTCTTGTTGCTAGCAGGCTCTCTCTTGCTGAAGCACATTGTGAAGTCAAGGAGGCCCATGTGGCCAGGAACTGAGGCCCAGGGGCCCACAGACCAAAAAGAGCTGATTGCTGCCAACCAGTGAGTGAGCTTGGAAAGGACTGTCCCTTGACTGAGCCTTCAGGTGAGGCCTCAGCACCAGAGTCACCTCGACTGCAGCCTGTAAGACATTGTGAGCAGAGGACCCAACTGGGTTGAGCCTGGGTGAGGACCCATAGAAACTGAGATCATGAACGTGACTCATTTTAGTGGCTACATTTGCAGTGATGTGTGACATAGCAAGTGCTAATGAATATAGTCTCCTCCTCCTATCTCAGCCAGGCATTCCAGGGCATCCCTTGAGTTGTGTGACATTTAGCAAGTGCCACCAGTTTACACAGGATGCATAAGGAAGCATCCTGGGCCACATCCCTCAGGCAGCTCAAGGATGCAGGGAGACAGGCTAGCAAAGTGTCCATCACTGTGCCCATGAATGACAGTAGATGGTGGTGGGGAAACCAGACCAAATGAACTCGTATGAGGTGAAAAGCAGCAAAGACCAAGCCAGGGGTCTGATGACATCTACCATCCTGCCCCCTCATGATTCTCATGAAATCAGTGACATCACATCCAAACTGCATTAGGCCCCAATGTGCACCCAGGATTTATCAAGCAGGTACTTTCTATGTATCAGACCATCAGACAAACAATAGAGCTATGAAGAAATAAATACCTTCAGTTAGTGAAGTGCCAAGGAGACATGCTCTGAGATAAAACAGCCTGGGGGCCTCCCAGGGGAGGTATAGGCTGAAGCATAAAGCCCACACTGGATCAGGAGAAAGGAGAAACTGTCCAGGCCAAGGGAAGGGCATGTACAAAGGCCTAGGAGCAGGAGGGACACAGAAGCTCTGCAGGTGGTGGGTGGGCGGGGGTTGGGGTGAGGAGTCTGGAGCTTGGTCAGTCAGGGCCATGAGAGATGGACACAGGGGTGCAGGGAAGGGACTGAACTAGAGAGCTGTTAAGGAGGCTGCCTGGGTTCAAAACCTGTGACCGCAGTGTCTCTGAGCCTCAGTTTCCCTCACATGTGCAATGGAGTGTTCAGAGCTCGTGGCCCAATGTGCAGAGATTTGCAAAAAGGAAGTCACATTACAGAGCCTGGAGGCCAATGCATGTGGGTATGTCCCTGGCAGGCAGACAGAAGATGCAGCTGGCTCCAAGGGGTTGCCTTGGCAGGGACAAGGTCTCAATCCCATGTCGCTGTAGGGCTACCCTACCTGACTTCCTGGGTGTGAGGGACAGCAAACTGCTGGAATAGCATTTCGGGCCCCAGAACTACAGGTCTCTGCGCGATGAGCGCCCCCATCGGGATCCTGGGTTTTCAGGTGATCCCCAGCTTAGGGGATGTGATGTGAATTTCTGAAAGACGGCAGGCAGCTGAGCTTGTGGTCGAAATTGGGGGCTATAAGGGTTCTAATCCTTTGTCCTCACACTCCCACCCCGTGGCCATGAGACTGCTGACTGCCTCTTGAAGCCTCAGTTTCCCCACTTGTGAAATGAGGATGGTAATGAGGACATCCCCAACCCACTGCATCATCTCTGAAGATTGACCTTTTTTAATACCTAAGGCACTTCTAACAGCACCAGGAAAATCATTACACCCTCTCACCCCAGCAAGGAAGAGGGGCCTTCTGAGGCGGTGACAGACAAGGAAACTGAGGCCAGAGAGCAAAAAGGAGAGGCTCTGGACCCTGAGGACTCCCTGCTGCTGTGCTCCTTTCGCAAAGTGCTGGAGGCTCCGCAAGGAGGGAGAGTCTGCCGGCGTCCTGCCCCACGTGGGGCCGTCTTCTCTTCGGGGGCCGCTAGGGGCCGCTCAAACCACTTCACAGTACTCTCCGGCCATCCTCCTCACGTCAAGCCTCCTGCCCTCGGCAACGCCCCTGCCTGTCCAGGCCACACACCCCGGCCCAGAAGGCCCTGCCAGAACCAACCCTTCTCATCAGGAGCCAAGTCTGCAGTGGCAGTCAGCCTGCACGATGAGTGCCCCCGCCGCGACCCCCATCTTCGCGCCTGGTGAGAACTGCAGGCCTGCGTGGCTGGAGGCACCCGCGTCCTATGATGCGTCAGACACGCAACTGCAGATCCTGGGCAAGCCCGTGATGGAGCGCTGGGAGACCCCCTACATGCATGCGCTGGCGGCGGCCGCCACCTCCAGAGGTAATTCAGCGCCCCGCCCGAGTGTAGCCCCCAGGGGAGACCAGACCCGGTACCAGCCTGCTCTCCGGTAGATGCGCACTTGAGCCTCTCGGTGCCTTCTTCCTAGCTGCTGAGGGGTGGGGGAATGCGGGAGTAGGGAGTTGGCGGGGAAATAAAAGTGCTGCAGGCACGGAGCATGCACGTAATAGGCACTCTGTAAGTACCAGGAACTTCCTCTTCAGGGGAAATGGGTTCTCAGCTACAGGACCTCGGGTGGAACTCAGCCGCCTGAGCTCAGGGATCCCGTGGCGGCAGGCGGTGGGTGCTACCCAGGAACACGTGAGGAGCACCTGCGCGGGGACATTCTACCCGGCCCAGCTAAGAATAACTCTGGGAAAGCTGAGGCTTGGAGACAGCTGTGGCAGGGTGACTCTGCGCTCTGGTGTCAGAGCCCTAGAGGTGCTCAGGTCCCCAGGGACTGTGTGTGCTGCCCTTAGGCCTCTGTCTGTGGTACAATAAGTACTCCCCCAGATCGTTCCAGGCCCCAGCCTGGAGTCCTGATCCTCCCTTTCTCTTGTGAATTTCATGGAGGAGAGGGTGGGAGAGAGAAATGTAACCAAGAGATAAGCTGCACCTGTGGCATGTTACCACTGCCACCGGTGTACACAGCCAGAACCAGGCTCAAAGTCCAGGGTCTGACCACACACCCCGTCCCTGGGCCCCAAAGCTGCTCTGTGGCCTTGCTGGCAGGCCATCCCTTTTTGGGTGCTGGCCAGGGCCCACACTGTTCCCTCTCAGGGCCACTGTGTCCTCCTGTCCTAGTTTCTCTGTGCCAAGGCGCTGTCCCTGAGCCCCCTCCTCCAGGTAGCTTCCCAGCCCCGGCCTTTTGTGTGTCCAGGGGGTCGGGTCCTGGAGGTGGGCTTCGGCATGGCCATCGCAGCCACCAAGGTGCAGGAAGCCGCCATCGAAGAGCACTGGATCATTGAGTGCAATGACGGCGTCTTCCAGCGGCTCCACGACTGGGCTCAGCAGCAGCCACACAAGGTGCCACCTCTGCCTATAGGCACCCCCAACCCACTCCTAGCAGTCTCAGGCACGGGGGAGGGGGCCGTCCTCAGAAGTTCCTCTGCCCCTCCTTACAGTGGAGAAGTCCTGGGGTTCCCTGTGACCCTGTCTTCTTTTTCTCCCCTGCCCCAAGGTGGTTCCTTTGAAAGGCCTGTGGGAAGAGGTGGCACCCACTCTGCCAGATGGTCACTTTGATGGTGAGGAGGGCTCTGGGCACTGGGTGAGGGGAACCTCTGTCCGAGTCTCCTCACTTGTAGAGGGGCCTTCTGAAGAACACATGTGCAGACATGTCACTGGGGCAAGAGCATGAGGGGGCGGGGGAGGCAGACACACAACAAGGCTTGGCACTCAGCTGGAGGGCCATGATACCTAAAAGGGAAGACTGAATTGCATGATACCCAGAAGTGGTAGCCTAATGAACTTGGGGTACAGCAGCTGGGGTTCCCAGGCCATGTTTGAATTCCACCTGTGTGTAGCCACTGTCTTGGTATGGTTGCCGCTGGCCTGGACCATGTGGCTTCCGTCCTCTCATTGCAGGGATCCTGTACGACACTTACCCGCTGTCCGAGGAAACCTGGCACACGCACCAGTTCAACTTCATCAGGGTAGGACCTCGCAGGGGAGTGGGGTCTGCAGCCCCCTGCAAGGGGGATCAGCTGGGTGGAGGCATCTACCATCCACACACAGGGTATCCCTCTTTCCACTTCGTTCTCAGATCTTCCTGACCTCTAACCCTCTCCTAGGCCCACGCTTTTCGCCTGCTGAAGACGGGGGGCATCCTCACCTACTGCAACCTTACCTCCTGGGGGGAGCTGATGAAGTCCAAGTACTCCAACATCACTACCATGTTCGAGGTGCAGCAGCTAAAGCTCCCTGGGCCCACCCATCTCCCTCTTACTCCAGGCAGCTTGGGGAGGTAGCTATAGTCACCTGTGACCTGGGAGGGTACCTTGCCTCCGGGCTGCTCTCTTGGGAAGATTGTGCCCTCTTGCATGGAAATCAGGCAAGGTCCCTCCCCAGTGCCCTTGGGACACATGGACTCAGCTTAAGCTCCCCCTCTGGCTGACAGGCCCCATACCCCTCACTGGGCCCCCCTCCACCCAGGGTGCACCTGCTAGTTCAGCCAAGCCTGTCTCAGGGCCTTTGACCAAGCTCTTCCCTCTGCCTCCGAGGACAAGCAGTTGGGCAGCTGTGACTGCCAGGAAGCTGCTACCCGAGTTCAGATATCTGGGGATCACTACTAAAGTCTTGGGCTTTCACATTGTCTCAGCAGTTCGACCTGGGTGGGGGCTGCTGCAGTCCCTGGGGAACTTGGCACTAGCAATGCTGTGTGAGGAAGGGTAGGCACTGGGTACGTGTGTGTGCTTGTATATGCACCATGAGGCCCCACAGCCTGAACGTGACATGGTGCTTCCCTGTGACAGGAGACGCAGGTGCCAGCGCTGCTGGAGGCAGGCTTCCGGAAGGAAAACATCCATACACAGGTGATGGAGCTGGTCCCACCTGCCGACTGCCGCTACTATGCCTTCCCACAGATGATCACACCCCTGGTCACCAAGCACTAAGTCTGGTGGCCCCAGGCTTAGCCACCTATGGCCTCCCCACCTCCCAGTGCCTTTGTGACCAGGAGCTCAGGCTCCAACTTTACAGCCCAGGTTCTAACTGAAGCAGCACCAGCTGTGTGACCCTGGCCACCTTCCCTAACCTCTGCAAGGGGACTAACACCAGCCTCTTTCCAGGGTCAGGGGGATAAAATAAATGCTGACACTGGGCTGGCCAATCAGCAGCCTGATGCGCAAGTACACTCTCACTCACTCCTCCTGTCCCTCCAGAAAAAGAAATCTGTTAAATGAACCTTCAGGGAGTCAGTGGGCAAGCTCTCAGCTCCACTGTGTAGGCTATGAACCCCACCCTGTCCATGGGAGACATCACCAATCAGTCATCTATGGCTCCTTCCCCTAGCCAGCCAGGACAGCTGCCCCTCCTTCCCTGTGGCTGGCAGCTGGGGTCCAAGGGCGTACAGAACTAGGTCAGGACTGCAGGGAATACAGCAGCTCCAGGCCCAGGTCCTTGGGCTACTGAGAAGGGTCTCTGGTCCCACCTAGTCAGAGTGAACCACAAAATAAAGCAAAACCTTTACATCTGGACCCTCATAGGATCCTCAGCCACCGGAGTACAGTGTCATTTGCTGTCTTGTTTCCTCTGACTTAACACCCGTTTCAGTCCCCCTGTGGAGGCAGCCCAGCCCTCACTTGGCTCCAGGGGATGATCTGGCTGCCCTTCTTCACAGCGGTGGGGCCTGGAGGAGACCCAGTGCGGGCCCTAAGAGGGGCTGCTATGCACTGCCTCCAGGGTCTCAGCATCTCTGAGGACTGACCCTGCCCAAGGCAGCACTTGCCCATCCACGCCAGGCATAGGGGGTGCTCTCTGCCCTGTGGCACCCCCCTACCTCCCAGGGCCCCTACCCATACACCACAAGGGCAGGCATTGGTCCAAGTGGGTTTCTTGGGTTTATTGACCATCTCTTGGGGTGATGAAGAGGACACAGGGCGGTAGTCAGGCAGCACTACCTGCGGTACCAGATCCTGAGTCTCTTCTCTCTCTTGATCTTCTTCTGCAGCTGCAGGATGCCATAGAGTAGGGCCTCGGCTGTGGGCGGGCAGCCTAGGGGCGGGATCTCGCCTCAGTGTCTGTGCCCATGGGGCAGGGGCCCACATCCCTGGCTCAGCCAGGTGCCCTTGACCAGTGACTGGATTCTGGGCCCTGTTGGGGCACCACCCCTCTCAATGCTGTCTGGCATAGGGCAAGTGAACCAGAAGGAACATCAAATGGTCTGGCTGGGGGCAACAACTACAGGTAAAGTGGAAAAGGAAAGGCCTGGGCCACCCAGGGCCCTGAGAAGAGTGACTCAGGAGCTGCAGGTTGGCCGAGGGCTGGTTGGCCACATCCAGGCCACTTCCCAGGGTGGGGAGGGCTGAGGTGGGCCCCCACCCCTGCATCCCATAAATGCACTGGAGGGGCTGGGCGCTTTGGCCCACCATGGGAAGTAGCCAGCAGGGTGGGCAGGGCAGGAAGGCCCACAAACTGAGAAGGGAAACCCCAGAGAAACAGTCCTCATAGTCCCTGTCCCTGATGTCTCAGGTGAAAAAAGTAGGGGGACACATTGCCACCCGGAGGACTAGCCAGGACCTGACAGATCTGCCACCTCAGGTGGCCAGACAAAGAACTGTCATGGTCATTTACTCCCAGCTGAATCTGGAGTGCTCAGTAGCTACAATATGATCACAGTGGGCCATCTGATAGATGGGGAAACAGGCTCAGAGAGGAGACATGAGGTCATGTGTTAAACAAGCAGTAACTGACCAAGGGTCTGGCTCTTGGTCAAGGTTAATAAGCCTGCAGGGTCGGCCACACTATGCATCTTTTGAAGCCCCACCCACTGTGCCCTCTGCCACCCAATAGGAGGGGCTGGACAGGTCTGTGTCAGGCTCTGGTCCCCCCACGCTGCAGGGCCTGGCCCAGGTGCTGAGGCTTCTCTAGGGCCCAGCGTTGCCCAAGTGGGGCCCAGGACTAGAAAAAATACTCAATATTTGCAGAATGTGAAACAAACCAACCCCATTTTCCAATGAGCTCCAATGTGGAAACCTGTTTCTCTGCCTTTGGGAGATGCCAGCACATGCCAGCACGTGCCCAGGAGGCCACCCCCACTGATCATCCAGATGAGGAGGCATGTGAGTCCCGCAGGATGGCCAGACAAGGATCGCTCAGTTACATGAAAACTTTAGACAAACCACTGATACTTTTAGTATAAGTGTATCCTGAATATCATGGGATATGTTTATAATGAGAAAGATATTATTGTTTTTCTGACATTCAGATTTAACTGGGAGCCCAGCATTTTTATTTGCTGAATCTGGTCACCCTGGTGATCTTGGATCCAAGCCGAGGGTGTGGGGGGATGCAGGGATGAGAGGTCTCACAACCCATTGTGAGGGCAAGAGCTCACAGACACTGTTCATGTCCTCTAGGACCTGTTTTCTGTTTTTTCAATAGCATTCCTTTAATTTTGTTTATATTAGGTGGAATCATATAAAACTATAACTTAAAAATAACCAAGTAGCAGCAACTCCGTACAGCTCAACCTATCCCCTTGATGTTGGCCTCAGCCAGAACCTGGATGAAATCGGGGAGCCCATAAAGGGACAACAAAAGGAAAGGCTGGGGTGTTACCTTTCTTAGACCCAAATCTGTTCATTCTTTTTTTTTTTTAATTCTCACCTGAGGACATGCTCATTGATTTTAGAGAGAGGGGGAGGGAGACAGAGATGGAGAGAAACATTGATGTGAGAAACATCACTCGGTTGCCTCTTGCATGTGCCCTGACTGGGGACCAAACCCTCAGCCTAAGCAAGTGCCCTGACCAGGAATTGAACCCACAACCTTTTGGTTTACAGGATGACACTCCAAGTCACTGAGCCACACTGGCCAGGACCTGCTCATTCTTAAAAAAGGGAAAGCCCACTGTGTCTGCAGGAGCATGGGAACTCTTTCGTGGGAACAAACCTGAAGGCCTGCTTGCCCAGAGACGTGGGCAGGGGACTTACCTGGAACGTAGATGTCCACAGGCACGATGCGGTCACAGCCCCTGACGACGGAGTACGAGTAGTGGTAGTAACCTCCTCCATTGGCGCAACTGGAGAAAGAGCAGTGCTGTGAGGGCCACTCTGGCCACTGGCCCTGTTCCTTCCTCTAGGCCTTGCCCCTAACCCACAGCCACCTTCAACTGCAAGCAGGTGCCCAGGCCGCCATAGGACTAGAATGGACATAAAGTCACAGGGAATGCAGTAGTCAGCTGGGACCAGGTAGAACAAGGGTAATGGATGGGCCCTGAAAATATGATGCTCAGTGAGAAGCCAGACACTAGAGGCCACACACATAGTGTGTGATTCCATTTATATGAAATGTCCAGAACAGGCACAGGGAAGGGCAGGGAATGGGTTCATGGTTGCCAGGGGCTGGGAGTGAGGGTGGGGAGTGACTGCTGATGAGCAGGGATGGGGCTTATTGTTGGGGTAATGGAATGATCTGGAACTAGACAGAGAGGATGGTTTTACATGTTGTGAATGCAATAAAGCCCACTGAATCGCACCCTTTAAAAGTGCAAACTTTCTGCTATATGAATTCTATCTCAACAACAACAAAAAAGTGATTAAACATGTTTCAATGATGTGGGGAAATGACTACAAGTTAAAAAGGCAAGGAGAATGTGAGCTGCTGACAGAAGGAGATATCGCTCATGTGTTCATAAAGCAAACGGACAGAAGTCCTATGGGCTGCTGGGCTGCGGGAACAACGATGACCCACAGCAGGGAACGTTCTGCGGAACGGTGAGTGCACACAGCAGAAGTGTCAGAGTCTCTGCAGCTGTGGGATTCTACTGAGTCTAAGTTACACCTCCATGACCTTGATGGGACACGAGCCCAGAAAAAGACTAGGGAGAAACATGCCACTGTGTCACAGGTATGTCTCATCACTGGAGGCAGTTCATGGCCCCCAGGCCCACCAGACACTCACCTTCCCATGGACACAACATAGCGAGGCTCTGGCATCTGGTCATAGACCTGGAGGAGATGATAGGGTCTATATAAGGCTCAAGCCTGGGCAGTGAGAGGGCAGTGGTCAGGGCCAGGCCTACCTTGCGGAGCGCTGGGGCCATCTTGTTGGTGAGTGTCCCGGCCACAATCATGACATCTGACTGGCGTGGGCTGGCTCGGAAGACCACGCCAAAACGGTCCATGTCGTAGCGGGGTGCTGCCATATGCATCATCTCCACAGCACAGCAGGCCAGACCGAAGGTCATGGGCCACAGGGAGCTCTGAGGGTGCCGGAGTGGTCAACCGTGAGTAGAGTTGTCCCATCATGTTTAAAAAACTACGTGATTTCACATAGAAGAACCTAGATTTCTAACCTTTCTTGAAGAACGACACGTCGGCCATTCCCTGACCCAACCCCACACAGAAACCACATGACCAGGGCTGCCCAACGGGAAGGTAAAGTGAGCTAGGCCTATGGGTCAACACTTGCCAGTAGCCACATTACCAAAGGAAAAAAAAAGAAAAAAAAACACATAAAATTAATTTTTAATAGTACCACTGATGTAACCTAGTACACCCTAAACCCCATCCTTCCAGCACGGGCACTTGCTGCTCTGAGTGACTGGCAGCCACATGTGGTACAGGCCTAATGCTGAGGATCTTGTTCTAGACACCTCCTGGTGTCCAAAAACTCTAATGCCAATTTCTCCAGGAAGCCCTCCAGGATGGCCTCAGCTGCTCTCTGACTCCTTTATCTGTATGGTGCCTGATTACCCTACAGCTGGGGTTTTCAGCTAGACCTTTCTCTGATTCTCTGCATCTAATCTGGGACAGAAGTAGCCCCCACTGCCCCACTGATGTGCTAGTGCAGTGACAGCACAAAGGTTGTCCACTGTGGCAAGACCACCTTGACTGACTGGCATCTGAGCTGGCTGACCTTGACCTCATCTCTGGGTGTTCACAGTCATAACAAGGCTGCAGTGGACATTGCTGTCCTGGAGCTGTCCAGGGGCCCCGGGAGGGTGCTCACTGTGGTGTTGTGGCACAAAGACACACAAAAGACTGAGCCCGCATACGACCATCAATGGGAGATTGTTCAAGTGGCCTGTCCCAACCCAGCACAGCTTGGGTACTGAAAGGAGTCCCTGTCTTGGGACAGAGGACACGTGTCCAGTGGGAGACACGCCAGACACATGACTTAACAGTGAATGTAAGACAAAAGCTGTTTCGTGGCTGACACTGGGGGCAGGGCAGGCTTTTAAGATTTTTGCCAGAAAAGAGTTACTGCCTTTGGCAGACAATACTTTTCTAGTTAATGGGTTACTTTTAGCCCAGGCTGGTGCAGTTTAGTGGATTGGGGGTTGTCCTGCAAACCAAACAGTCGCTAGTCCAATCCTGGTCAGGGCACATGACTCGGTTTTGGGCCAGGTCTCCAGTTGGGCACATGTAAGAAGCAACTGATTGATGTTTCTCTCACACATCAACGCTTCTCTCCCTTTTTCTTTCCCTTTCCCTCTTTCTAAAAATAAGTCAAATCTTTTAAAAAGTAAATAAAAATGAAAAGGCTACTTTTACATTA